AGTTACAAGGACGAAAACTTTATGGAAAGGCCATACCGCACTTTGCCTAAACGAATATCACACGTACGTCTCAATTCAATTCGTACTCAGTTTAGAACACTTCTACTCAGAAAAAGAAATACCACATTTACCTCAACATGATCTCAAAGCACTCCAAGAGATATTTCACAAACGACTAATTATAACTTCGGCTAACTATTCGTTGTACGTCTACCAACTTTCACGTTCACGTTCAAATGGCATGTTCTTTCGTAGTCTTAGAGTATTGCTCAAGTTTCACAAACTGTTGTGTTCTGATTGGTCAGTGACTAGGTGTGTCGTAAACGTGAGTGTTCTGATTGGTCAGTGACTAGGTGTGTCGTAAACGTGGTGTGTTCTGATTGGTCAGATACTAGGTGTGTCGTCAATTACACGTTGTGTCTCAAAAAACTGCTCATCTTTAAAATCAGCCAACATTTAGAATTTGCATGATACATTACTAAGAAATAATTAATCCCACAGAGCGGTAAATGCAATTGAATACAATATAAACACAGATATAAATAAATACGTATTGTTCTGCTACAGCAAATAGTAAATCCAAGACATTTAAGCCTCCTTGCGGATTAACTACAGCTGAATAATGAAAATTCTTGATGTTTGACCGACATCAAAAATGACTTGATGAACCCTCTATGTTGTTCATTAAAACCTCATTTTCTTATTGTATTTTTTAGCCAACATTAACAGTTTGATTTCTTTTAATTATCATTCTACAGGGTCTATTTATAAAAAATGACTTTTGGCAATTAAACTATCGTAAAATTGCAAAGCCCGATAACTGTGCTAACCTTACCAATGCATTACAATTCCAATGGGGAAAAAGCTTTTGTGCTTAGATCAACGTAGCTAACAATATTTTAAATATATGTGAGCTTAGCATAATCACAGGCATTGAAATTATACAAAGGTCTTCAACGGTAAACGAAGGCCGACCAGCAATTATTGACCGTCTATGTAAACGTTGTATGTAATAAAAAGTTACCTTGACACTTAAGCAAACCCTTCTTTTTCCAGGCATGCGCAACACCTCAAATTCATTCCAAACTCTTGAATTTCTAGCAGCGTAGACGAAAGGAATAGGCATCAAATCAGGAAACTCGTCTTCATCATAACAGCTATTTTGATTTCTCCCTTGATCTTTTTCAGCGTCAAGCTTACATGATGTGATTTTATTTGCTTAAACCGAGCGACATAAGATTTGGAGAGATAAAAGGATGACCAATAAGCTGCTGTGCTAAGCATCGGTTGAGGCTCTCCGGATGTAGTCATTTATAGAAAGTATATGACATTAAAAGACAGTAGCTATAAATTCTTCGTCACATTAATGCTTGTTTTTCCTCATGATCTTCATTTTTCTTAAGTTGAAGCTTTAGGTGGAAGTTTTCGAGCATGGCTATCATTATATTAACAAAAACATATTCCGAGAAGGGTAACTTTCTTTATCACACTACGATTCAACGAAACTTACAAGTCCAAAACGAGCTTTTCGAGGTATCCAAAGACCAAACTCTATTTCATTGACATCAGTTGACTTTTTAAAGAAAACACCTAAAAAATGTAACAATAGAAAACCAAAAATGACGAAACGCGTTTACTTAAATCGTAACCAATTGTCAAAAATTAGAGAAAAGTAGCAAATAATAAGTCTTCACATATATTTATTGAGCTAAACGAAGATTGTTCAAATTTTTTTTCCTACCAGTAAATGAACGTGAACTAATCCTTCTACAATGTCAAAGAGAATCCGCCACATTCTCTGTTGGTTCTTGTACTATCCCTCGTCAATAACATTCCTTAGAGTACTCTTTTCACAGTACTCCTTCTGTTTAGACAAAGTTTGCTGAGTACAATTTAAGTCTTCTTGCAAATCTCTAGTGGTGATTGCTTCCTCTTCACTTTCGAAATAAGATTCATGAGCAGTTCCCACTACTATATAACACGTGAGCCAACGAGCTTCCAAACTGTATATGCGATTCATGGATATTTCTTTCGAACATATCTTCAGTAGACTCCGTGATTGTTTTTGTATTGGAGCGTAGTCTTCCCTTGAGTTTTTATCGTCGTCAACATGCTTGGAATTATTCGTGTTTTCATTGGTCAACGAGTCCTCATCCGAAACTCCCGAGCGTACGCTAGGTGCTTGAACTACGTTCAATTTGTTTCTTCTCTGTCGCGCTTGATTTTGTTTGACTGTTTGAAGTTTCATTTTCGAGTATTCTCTATCTCAATCCACGAATCTGTTATGAATATTAGAGCATTGTTTATGCACAAAATATGCAGATACAAAGTTATGGCGAAAAACAAAAACACCTCTAACATTGACACAGATATTACGAGTGGCGTAACAAAGTGTTGACGAGTTTGATATGCACTTGTCAAAACAAGCTTAAGAAGACAAAGAGCGTGTCAAAAATATATGATTGATAATTTGCTAAGCCCATATACAAGCACCAATTTCAGAGCTCGCTAACTTGACAATTTATCTCAGCATGCGTAGTCAACTGTACCAACTCTCCAAATTCATGGTTATCACAACGACCAACTGTATGTACTAGTACCGATTATGGAGTAATTAGCTCGCTCAGTCACAAATTTTCAGAAAAATCATCTGCGCATGCGCAGTCCGCTTGAGCATGCGCAGTTGAATTGACCAGCTGCCCAAAGTTATGGTCATGGCAACGACTAAATGCATCTACTACCAATTTTGAAGTAAATAGCATGTTTAGTAACAATTAAATAGAAAAAACATCTGCGCATGCGCTCGAGCATGCGTAGTCCACTCGATTAATTGTTCATAGTCATGGCAACGGTTAACTATATGTACTTGCACTACATTTGTGGCAATTAACTCACTTAGTCGCAAATTATCAAAGAAATCAACTGGTCATGCGCAGTAGTGACTTTACTACTACCACAACTTTCGTAAGCCTTTGAATTTATGTATATATATAAAGCTAATACTAGGTGTAGTAGATGTCAACTGGCAGTGGAAGCTGGGTGCGATATAGTATGCAGTGCCTTAGGGACCCAGACTTCGGTCGCGACCGCACTCTCCATGCGTAACCTGAGCAAAGCCTATCGCAGGTGATCTCAGGGTCTGATGGGTGGAAGCTTGCTATTGCATCTCCCAAGTAGGATAGCGTGGAGGGGCCGAAATCTCCGACCGAAACGTTGACATGCGGCGTTCTAGTGCCTTACGCTTAAGAAGGTATCGGCAAGCATGGACTGAAAACGGTTTCGAATTTTATCTTTTTCTTTACAAGAGTACTTCTAATAAAATAAACATCTTCTGACACTGTGCCTTTTTCTGACACTTATAATTTAAGACAACCTGAAACATGTTGTATACAATTTTTATGGGTTTATATCTTTCTGATTTTATTCTCTCATTTACTGTTTCTCCTGTATCACAAGCAAACCATCCATGGGCTTTATGGCAGACAGGATTATCTGGTTCCCTTAATTAACATTAGACGTTCAAGTGCTTAACTATCTCGTGCTATTGCAAGGTATGCACAATACTTAAAGAAAAATTTAAAAAAATTTTGTAAATGTGTTTACAAGGCATAACAGGATTTTCTTTGATGGGGTAGGAGACATATTACTTGCTTACTTGCATAGCATTAACTACTAATTAGTGTAGCATTATCTACAAATTAACCCAAGACATGTGAATGTAATTGGTTAATTATATTTGGGAAGTAATTTTGAAGTTTTTAATTTATGCAAAGGAGAGAGATCTTAAGTACCAAGTTTGATGAAAAAGCAATACTTAAAGTACTGCTACTGAATTTTTTTAGTGAAATTGCTGACATGAAAACTTGTTGGCATTCTCAATTTTGGTCATGTATCGAGCCGTTACATTTCAAACAACAAGCCAGCTTCAACTGTGGTGTAATCATTTGCCTTGTAAGTGAGCACTCCCACAGACAATTGACTCTGTTAATTTATACACTGCTCATTTCTTGTAGTTATAGCACTAGATTTCTACACAATTTAAATTATGGTCACAAACCACAAGCATAAATATATATAAATATATATTATGGTTCATTTATGTACATTAGTTTTAATAATTTCCTTTTCACAGTTTGCAAGGTGGTGTATTTGTGAAAATTCAAGCTTAAACATAAATTTTAAAATGGAATTAGAGAGAGAGAGAGAGAGAAATTAATATCACTCATATTTGGCTCTTGCTGACACGATGACATTCATGAGTATGTTTTAACCAGTCTTTAAAGCTTTATTTAGTGCATGAGAAACTTAAATTCATTTTAAATTCATTTCTTTGTTTTGTTGTAGACGAAAAGCTGGTGTTTGAAAAATATGCAAAGACAATTATGGTGAAGATTGGCTTGGACGCGACAAATGCTTTCAGTTTTTCCATTCCAGCTGTTTAAATTTAGACTTTTCTGCTGCTCTTTCAACTATTTGTTTTGTCCACGCTAAAACTCTTAGCATGATATCTCACAAATTTCTACATTTACCATCTCAACATTAAATAAATTTCCAAGAAAACAGGTGAACAGTCTTAAGTGCTTAAATCATCATGTTGGATTTAGAAGAAGTAAACTTGAATGGGTAGCACTTAAAGCTTGGCACAACTTTGTCATAATGTCTTATCCATTTCCTGTGTTCTGCTTGCAAACCTCTTGCTTTATACACTCTCAAAGCATGGTTGCAGTTTCTTAATTCAGATGCTTAACTCAAAAGTCAAAAATTGATTACAGTCAAAATACAAAAACAGTTAAAATCATAAAAATAGATAAGAAAAGAAGGAGAATACATGCCTGCTTTAGACGAGTGCAGAAAAAAGTTTTCTGATTCAGCAATCAATTGTGTAGCACCATCCATAAACTCATAGAACACGTACATCGTTTTTTGTTGACTCTTCAGTTTCTACATAATGCCACTTATAAGCACATATTGTCAATATCAGATAATTTTCTTATCTTTCTACATTTGAAATACAAATCATTTTAAAGTACAAATCAAATTAATAATTGCAACTTTATCCACAACACTGACCATAATGCATCGCAGATGCATAAATGTTTCCCGTTTCCTACAGGCACCTTAGTGCCTCAGATCATAACATACCGGGATCGTATCAGAAATTTTGATGTTTGTTTTTATATAGAATTCTCACAAATTTCTTTTGTTAAGCAAATTTTTATGAACATCCGGTCAAAGTGTTACAAGTACAACTGGCTTTCGCTACGTCTTTCTTATTCTTCCGTGGATAATCGTAATAAGTCGCGATGCTTTCTCGTCAAAAGTTGATCAAGTGTTGTTATTTTGTTGCATTTATGGTAAGTTATAGGAAAGTAGTTTATTATAAGACATTCATGTACTAATTTTTCATTTTCTACGATATGTAAATTGATTGTGGTCGCTTTTCAGAATTATTCGGCAATTGAAACGAAACGGGAGATAAAGCTAGTCTCGTTTATGAGAATGTATTATATATTTTCTTTTTTAAAGGATTTGTTCGCAGTTGGTATGTTGCTACCATTGTTCAGCCGTCGTGGTCGTGAACTTGGAGGGTCTCCTTCGATGATTGGTCTCGTAGGTCAGAAACAACCTTCTGTTGTATTTTATGCCCTTTTCTTCATCTACCAAACAATTTTCTTATAAAATTTTACATTTGGTTACGTTCCAGGATCCATTTATGGCTGTTTACAGTTCTTGTCGAGCCCAATAATGGTATTTATATATTTATATACATAAAATTACATTTGGTTGTAATTATAGAATACACTGCCACATACTAAACTACCTGCATACCTGATCAGAACCCTAATCCTTCCCTTCTCATCACCAAGCTTGATTGTTGTGTGCAATCTTTGTGGCAATGTAGTCTATATTCTACAATTGTGTCAATACATCGAATAATGTAATGTATAAAAAGGCCACATCAACTCTATTTACAAACATATATAGGGCAAGGCAAGTGATGTTTGGGGTCGGAAATCGGTCTTGCTTCTTAGCTTTTTTGGTTGTTTCATTGGTTATTTATACATGGGTTTGGCAAGCACGATTCTCATGTATGCTCTGGCTCGATTACCTACAGGTTTGATATTTTATAATATACAGATCTTTGAACTTGTTTCCAAACTAGTTAATATATAAACCTCGAAGAAAGTACTCAACCCACTGAACCCAGTTAAAAGAAGCAAATTGTACAATAATTGGGCATTAAAATATCTCGAGATTGAGAAGAGAAAGATGTAAAAACTCTTAGTTTGATTACTTTCTTTTCAATACTTCTTTTTAATGAAGCAATTTCAATAGCAAAATTTTTGTTTTATACGCTCTTAAACTCTATCACTCCAGGCAAAAAGACTATACTAAATGGTCACCTTGCTTTATGAAAATAAGCTTAAAATCACCCAACAATTCTCAAAAAAATTTTTTTATGTCATTCAATAATGCATAACACATCCTATTTCTAAGGCATGTTGTCTCATGTATGTTCATGGTGTGTATAGTTTTTAACTTACAACATGGTAAAGTTTTATTTTAGATGTATGCTATGTGGCTGTTATGAAGTTCTGTTATAAAGCATCTTATCTACCAATTTTTAACATCTTATAGGCCTTTTGAAACATAGTCAGTCATCAGCAAAAGCTTATTTATCGGACATCACATCACCTGAGGAAAGATCAGGTGTATTTGGTTGGTTCAATGCATTTGGAAGTTTTGGTTTCATAATCTCACCCATTATTGGTGGTACTGTTGCTATGCACGACAATGGATACTTCAAGGTTTCACTTTTGAGCTGTAGCGTGTATGTGTTGGCTATAATATTTGTATGGTTTGTCTTTGATGAAAATAAAATAAAGTTGGAAAACTCCTACGTGGATAAAAAAGTTGTGGAAGTGTTGGAGGGTGATGAGAAGGTCAATATGAATCTTAACAGACATAAAAAGTTTGAAATGGAAAGTGACTTGGTTAATGACAAACAGAATGACAAAGAGAAATCATTTTTCTCCAGAATCGTCAATGTTGTTGCTGTTTCATCAATTGTGAGTGTTTTTGACTTGTTGCTGATACGCATCATTATGGCTCTAGGTATGTTAATATATCGTAGTAATTTTACTGCTATGTTGGATTATCGTTATGGTGTAAATGCTAAAACAACAGGCTACATTATATCCTATGGTAGTATTGCTGGAGCAATATCTGGTATGTCAGTGGGCTCTATATATAGTTACATACAAAGTGATGTAAAGATGATGTCGATTGGTGGAATTTTGATGATGTCATCTTTATTTGGGATAGCGATGTCACCAAGTATTTATACAGTACTTATATGTATGATACCATTGGCTCTCTCCAGTGCCATAATGAGAGTTAATTCGTACAATCTAATGTTAAAGCGTGTCAAACCAAAGGAAAAAGGTGCCGTCATGGGTATCGCAGACTCATTGACATCCATTGCAAGAATGTTATCACCAGCTATTGCAGGTTTTGCTGAAGAAGTTAGTGCTATTGGACCATGTTGGATTGCTACACTTTGTGGCTTCATTGGTGTTGTAATTATGTTGAATTTAAAACAGGATGATGATAGACGTGAGAAAATTGAATAATTATAAAATAATGCTGTAGTTAATTTTTCATTTCTAATTTTAAATTTAGACATGGGCATTTGTTATCACATTCCAAAGAATAAGGTCTCACCACTGAATGCGCTGTACGTTTACTTAATTTATCAAACACTTCATCCACCCATGACTGTAACATAGCTCTATTGTCTAGAAATAACTCATCAAAATTATTTCGCAAAGTTATTTCTTAAATTCTCTTAATGTTGTACAGTTTTCTAATATCTTCATGAATTAGACGTTAATAAATTGAGCTAGTTTCAAAATGAACCAATAATAAGACTCGTAATTTAGCTTTTTCTTATTTAAAATATCCCAATGTATTTCTTTAGAATAAAATTTAGAAACCGTAAGTTGAACTTTCTGTGAGAGAGAGGGGGGCAGTTACTAGCCTGCTAAAACCTTGCCTTAGCTGCTTACCTTGTTAATGTATATACTGAACAAATAGGACCGCACGAACGTCTCGCAAATTGGATTTATTTAATGAAAAAAATCTTTAATAGTGGATAGACAGCCTATAGATTTTCCATACCTTAATAAACTGCGGAACGTGAACATGGTTATTTCCAAATAATTTCGTTTCAATTTTATCGATTGCCCGTTAAAATCCTTTCCTTTTTTTTGTAATTTCCCATTTTACTGTCAACTGATTGCAGATTTTTTTCAGTAATTGCAATATTGACAAGGTCAGGTCCGAATGTTTTCGTTTGAATTTTTATCGCTCGTTCAAAAAGATCTTTTGCTTTTTCGTACTCTCCCATATTATCGTAAACCAAACCCAGAGTGTTGTACGTTTTCGCAATAATAACATGGTCAGGTCCAAATGCTTTTGTTTTAATTTCTATCGCTCGTTTATAAAAATCTTGCTTTTTCGTACTCTCCAATATCTCTGTAAACCGCACCCAGATTGTTGTACATTGTCGCAATATTAACATGGTCAGGTCCAAATGCTTTCGTTTTAATTTCTATCTCTTGTTCATAAAAATCTTTTGCTTTTTCGTACTCCCACATATTTTTGTACACTGAACCCGGATTATTGTACTGGGATGCTGTTCCCTCAAATTGTTATTAACTGTCTAACGTAGTCAGAATGAATTTGAGAGCTTCAAAATATGCAAGTCTCACAAATCAGAGTTTTCATCAACAACAGACTTTACTACTACCACAACTTTCGTAAGCCTTTGAATTTATGTATATATATAAAGCTAATACTAGGTGTAGTAGATGTCAACTAGCAGTGGAAGCTGGGTGCGATATAGTATGCAGTGGCTTAGGGGACCAGACTTCGGTCGCGACCGCACTCTCCCTGCGTACCCCGAGCAAAGCCTATCGCAGGTGATCTCAGGGTCTGATGGCTTGGATGCGACAAATGCTTTCAGTTTTTCTATTCCAGCTGTTTAAATTTAGACTTTTCTGCTGCTCTTTCAACTATTTGTTTTGTCCATGCTAAAACTCTTGGCATGATATCACATAAATTTCTACATTTACCATCTCAACATTAAATGAATTTCCAAGAAAACAGGTGAACAGTCTTAAGTGCTTCAATCATCGTGTTGGATTTAGAAGAAGTAAACTTGAGTGGGTAGCACTTAAAGCTTAGCACAACTTTGTCATAATGTCTTATCCATTTCCTGTGTTCTGCTTGCAAACCTCTTGCTTTATACACTCTCAAAGCATGGTTGCAGTTTCTTAATTCAGATGCTTAACTCAAAAGTCAAAAATTGATTACAGTCAAAATACAAAAACAGTTAAAATCATAAAAATAGATAAGAAAAGAAGGAGAATACATGCCTGCTTTAGACGAGTGCAGAAAAAAGTTTTCTGATTCAGCAATCAATTGTGTTGCACCATCCATAAACTCATACAACACGTACACATCGTTTTTTGTTGACTCTCCAGTTTCTACATATTGCCACTTATAAGCACATATTGTCAATCTCAGATAATTTTCTACATTTGAAATACAAATCATTTTAAAGTACAAATCAAATGAATAATTGCAACTTTATCCACAACACTGACCATAATGCATCGCAGATGCATAAATGTTTCCTGTTTCCTACATGCACCTTAGTGCCTCAGATCATAACATACCGGGATCGTACCAGAAACTTCGATGTTTGTTTTTATATAGAATTCTCACAAATTTCTTTTGTTAAGCAAATTTTTATGAACATCCGGTCATAGTGTTACAAGTACAACTGGCTTTCGCTACGTCTTTCTCTTTCTTCCTTGGATAATCGTAATAAGTCGCGATGCTTTCTCGTCAAAAGTTGATCAAGTGCTGTTATTTTGTTGCATTTATGGTAAGTTATAGGAAAGTAGTTTATTATAAGACATTCATGTAGTAATTTTTCATTTTCTACGATATGTAAATTGATTGTGGTCGCTTTTCAGAATTATTCGGCGATTGAAACGAAACGGGGGATAAAGCTAGTCTCGTTTATGAGAATGTATTATATATGTTCTTTTTTAAAGGATTTGTTCGCAGTTGGTATGTTGCTACCATTATTCAACCGTCGTGGTCGTGAACTTGGAGGGTCTCCTTCGATGATTGGTCTCGTAGGTCAGAAACAACCTTCTGTTGTATTTTATGCCCTTTTTTTCATCTACCAAACAATTTTCTTATAAAATTTTACATTTCGTTACGTTCCAGGATCCATTTATGGCTGTTTACAGTTCTTGTCGAGCCCAATAATGGTATTTATATATTTATATACATAAAATTACATTTGGTTGTAATTATAGAATACACTGCCACATACTGAACTACCTGCATGCCTGATCTGAACCCTAATCCTTCCCTTCTCATCACCAAGCTTGATTGTTGTGTGCAATCTTTGTGGCAATGTATTCTATATACTATAATTGTGTCAATACATCGAATAATGAAATGTATATAAAGGCCACATCAACTCTATTTACAAATGTATATAGGGCAAGGCAAGTGATGTTTGGGGTCGGAAATCGGTCTTGCTTCTTAGCTTTATTGGTTGTTTCATTGGTTATTTATACATGGGTTTGGCAAGCACGATTCTTATGTATGCTCTGGCTCGATTACCTACAGGTTTGATAGTTTATAATTTACAGATCTTTGAACTTGTTTCCAAACTAGTTCATATATAAACCTCGAAGAAAGTACTCAACCCACTGAACCCAGTTAAAAGAAGCAAATTGTACAATAATTGGGCATTAAAATATCTCGAGAATGAGAAGAGAAAGATGTAAAAACTCTTAGTTTGATTACTTTCTTTTTAATACTTCTTTTTAATGAAGCAATTTCAATGGCAAAATTTTTGTTTTATAGGCTCTTAAACTCTATTACTCCAGGCAAAAAGCATATACTAAATGGTCACTTTGCTTTATGAAAATAAGCTTAAAATCACCCAACAATTCTCAGAAATTTTTTTTTATGTCATTCGATAATGCATAACACATCCTATTTCTAAGGCATGTTGTCTCATGTATGTTCATAGTGTATATAGTTTTTAATTTATAATATGGTGAAGTTTTATTTTAAATACATGCTATTTGGCTGTTATGTAGTTCTGTTATAAAGCATCTTATCTACCTATTTTTTACATCTTATAGGCCTTTTAAAACACAGTCAGTCATCAGCAAAAGCTTATTTATCAGACATCACATTACCTGAGGAACGATCAGGTGTATTTGGTTGGTTCAATGCATTTGGAAGTTTTGGTTTCATAATCTCACCCATTATTGGTGGTACTGTTGCTATACACGACAATGGATACTTCAAAGTTTCACTTTTGAGCTGTAGCGTGTATTTGTTCGCTATAATATTTGTATGGTTTGTCTTTGATGAAAATAAAATAAAGCTGGAAAACTCCTACATGGATAAAAAAGTTGTAGAAGTGTTGGAGGGTGATGAGAAGGTCAATATGAATCTTAACAGACGTAAAAAGTTTGAAATGGAAAGTGACTTGGTTAATGACAAACAGAATGACAAAGAGAAATAATTTTTCTCCAGAATTGTCAATGTTGTTGCTGTTTCATCAATTGTGAGTGTTTTTGACTTGTTGCTGATCCGTATCATTATGGCTCTAGGTATGTTAATATTGTTGATATTTGAGTGATTCATTACAATCATAAATCAGGAATACATAGAATAGAAATATAATTGATAGAAAAAATAGTTCATGGCTTCCCGTATAACATAACATGTGCTAAGTTAACATAAATACTTCATGCAATAATATTATAGTGTAACATTACATCATCAATAATACTTCATATTGCTAACACTCCCACTTAATGTGCACTATAATATTTTCTTTTTCTCCTTTAAGACATCAGCATTATGAGCTATCTCATTTTCAAGTCCCTGGAGATTTTTCTGTGCTTCCTCGAGTTCTTCGCGAACGCCCTTCAAACGCTTTTTGACATCATCGCGGCCAAGCCTTAGATCGCCATTACACGCCTCTAACTGGTCGATGTGATCTTCTTGCTCCTTCAAAACTTGCTTCAATTCAGTCATGGTTACTGTATCCATGTCGCAGCGACCTTTAAGGGTTGTGATCTCGCCTAGTCTTTTCTTTCGCCTCAAGCTTTCTACTAAAGTTTTTAATAAGTTTCTTGTGCACTTCCAACATTTCCTTTTTCTCCTTTAAGACATCAGCATTATGAGCTATCTCATTTTCAAGTCCCTGGAGATTTTTCTGTGCTTCCTCGAGTTCTTCGCGAACGCCCTTCAAACGCTTTTTGACATCATCGCGGCCAAGCCTTAGATCGCCATTACACGCCTCTAACTGGTCGATGTGATCTTCTTGCTCCTTCAAAACTTGCTTCAATTCAGTCATGGTTACTGTATCCATGTCGCAGCGACCTTTAAGGGTTGTGATCTCGCCTAGTCTTTTCTTTCGCCTCAAGCTTTCTACTAAAGTTTTTAATAAGTTTCTTGTGCACTTCCAACATTTCCTTTTTCTCCTTTAAGACATCAGCATTATGAGCTATCTCATTTTCAAGTCCCTGGAGATTTTTCTGTGCTTCCTCGAGTTCTTCGCGAACGCCCTTCAAACGCTTTTTGACATCATCGCGGCCAAGACTTAGATTGCCATTACATGTCTCTAACTGGTCGATGTGATCTTCTTGCTCCTTCAAAACTTGCTTCAATTCAGTCATGGTTACTGTATCCATGTCGCAGCGACCTTTAAGGGTTGTGATCTCGCCTAGTCTTTTCTTTCGCCTCAAGCTTTCTACTAAAGTTTTTAATAAGTTTCTTGTGCACTTCCAACATTTCCTTTTTCTCCTTTAAGACATCAGCATTATGAGCTATCTCATTTTCAAGTCCCTGGAGATTTTTGTGCTTCCTCGAGTTCTTCGCGAACGCCCTTCAAACGCTTTTTGACATCATCGCGGCCAAGCCTTAGATCGCCATTACACGCCTCTAACTGGTCGATGTGATCTTCTTGCTCCTTCAAAACTTGCTTCAATTCAGTCATGGTTACTGTATCCATGTCGCAGCGACCTTTAGGTTGTGATCTCGCCTAGTCTTTTCTTTCGCCTCAAGCTTTCTACTAAAGTTTTAATAAGTTTCTTGTGCACTTCCAACATTTTTTTCTCCTTTAAGACATCAGCATTATGAGCTATCTCATTTTCAAGTCCCTGGAGATTTTCTGTGCTTCCTCGAGTTCTTCGCGAACGCCCTTCAAACGCTTTTGACATCATCGCGGCCAAGACTTAGATTGCCATTACATGTCTCTAACTGGTCGATGTGATCTTCTTGCTCCTTCAAAACTTGCTTCAATTCAGTCATGGTTACTGTATCCATGTCGCAGCGACCTTTAAGGGTTGTGATCTCGCCTAGTCTTTTCTTTCGCCTCAAGCTTTCTACTAAAGTTTTAATAAGTTTCTTGTGCACTTCCAACATTTCTTTTTCTCCTTTAAGACATCAGCATTATGAGCTATCTCATTTTCAAGTCCCTGGAGATTTTTCTGTGCTTCCTCGAGTTCTTCGCGAACGCCCTTCAAACGCTTTTTGACATCATCGCGGCCAAGACTTAGATTGCCATTACATGTCTCTAACTGGTCGATGTGATCTTCTTGCTCCTTCAAAACTTGCTTCAATTCAGTCATGGTTACTATATCCATGCCGCAGCGACCTTTAAGGGTTGTGATCTCGCCTTTTCTTTCGCCTCAAGCTTTCTACTCAAGTTTTGAATAAGTTTCTTGTGCAATATCTTTATTGCTACATATCGCTGCCTTGGATGACATGTATCCTCTGCTTGTACCATCACAGATGACTGACCTTCACCAACATTTGCGATAACTTTGTACCGACCAGCAAGGAGAGCTCCAATTACTGGCTTGAACTTATCTTCTTTAAAACTGCTGTTGAGACACAACGACTTATTTGTTTGTTTCTTGCTTGCTTTATCATCAATACTTGAATACAACATTTTAAGACCCACAGTCATTTGAGCAAATATAGAACGTTCAGAAGGATTCGGACAAACACACAATCGCTGAAAACAGTCCCTAGACTGGTGAGGAGGTCGAAAAGAATGCATATATTTTTTCGTTCCTTTCTTGTGTAAAATAAGCTCAAAATTTCATTGTCTATTCAAACGGCAAACAACCATCTTGCAAACACATTACAAAATCTAACGATATATGTTTCGCATCCATTTTCTGGCATATACAACCACAAAAATATCGTAGTAATTTTACTGCTATGTTGGATTATCGTTATGGTGTAAATGCTAAAACAACAGGCTACATTATATCGTATGGTAGTATTGCTGGAGCAATATCTGGTATGTCAGTGGGCTCTATATATAGTTACATACAAAGTGATGTAAAGATGATGTCGATTGGTGGAATTTTGATGATGTCATCTTTATTTGGGATAGCGATGTCACCAAGTATTTATACAGTACTCATATGTATGATACCATTGGCTCTCTCCAGTGCCATAATGAGAGTAAATTCGTACAATCTAATGTTAAAGCGTGTCAAACCAAAGGAAAAAGGTGCCGTCATGGGTATCGCGGACTCACTGACATCCATTGCAAGAATGTTATCACCAGCTATTGCAGGTTTTGCTGAAGAAGTTAGTGCTATTGGACCATGTTGGATTGCTACACTTTGTGTCTTTATTGGTGTTGTAATTATGTTGAATTTAAAACAGGATGAGGATAAACGCGAGAACATTGAATAATTATAAAATAATGCTGTAATTAATTTTTCATTTCTAATTTTAAATTTAGACATGGGCATTGTTATCACATTCCAAAGAATAAGGTCTCACCACTGAATGCGCTGTACGTTTACTTAATTTATCAAACACTTCATCCACCCACGACTGTAACATAGCTCTATTGTCTAGAAATAACTCATCAAAATTATTTCGCAAAGTTATTTCTTAAATTCTCTTAATGTTGTACAGTTTTCTAATATCTTCATGAATTAGACGTTAATAAATTGAGCTAGTTTCAAAATGAACCAATAATATAACTCCTAATTTAGCTTTTTATTATTTAAAATATCCCCAATTATTTCTTTAGTATAAACATTTAGAAACCGTAAGTAGAACTTTCAGTGAGAAAGTAATCGCTCATAAAAATCTTGCCTTTTCGTACTCTCCCATATCATCGTAAACCTAACCCAGATTGTTGTACATTGCCGCAATATTAACATGGTCAGGTCCAAATGCTTTCGTTTCAATTTCTATCTCTCGTTCATAAAAATCTTTTGCTTTTTTGTACTCTCCCATATCTCTGTAAACCGAACCCAGACTGTTGTACATTGTCGCAATATTAACATGGTCAGGTCCAAATGTTTTCGTTTCAATTTCTATCGCTCGTTCGTAAAAGTCTTTTGCTTTTTCGTGCTCTCCCATATCTCTGTAAACTAAACCCAGATTATTGTACTGGGATGCTGTTCTCTCAAATTGTTATTAACTGTCTAACGTAGTCAGAATAAATTTGAGAGCTTCAAACTATGTAATATGCAAGTCTCACAAATCAGAGTTTTCATCAACAAGCGTGTGATTATTTAAACAAAAATCAAGTTTATAGTCTTTTCGATGGTCTTTTCTAGCCGCCATTACTGTGACCCCGCGCTTTCTATTCCTTTTAATTATATATAGTTCAGATGAAAATTAAGATCGATGGAAGCATAAATCAGGGGCGGATCTAGAGTATGTCAAATCCGTCGCGCGACTGATGTTTGAAACTCAAAAATTACCTATTCATATTAGTTAAAAATCATTAATTATTCTTACTTTATTATTGCATTTACTTCGTGATAAAAATCCAGCTTTATTTATTATTGAAAACTAATGACTAATCCAATGAATATCTCCTTGGTAACCAGATCAGTTGAATTTTAATTGACCTGGAATAACCGACTGATAAGCGGGGTGGCTTGACTGGTTCGACTTATAAAGGAGTCTATGAACGCCAGAAACGCTATTTTATTGGTCAATGGCCAGATCAGTGGACAGTCTGGAATAATCTCGACCGATAATAGGGGTGGCCGGACCTATAAGGGAGTCCACTTGCTATCGTGTAATTGGTTCGTTTAAATTTTTGTCTTACTGTGATTGGTTTGACCTATTTCGACTGATAGCCAACTGAACTAACATAGTCAAGCTCACTGTCTGAATTGAATGTTTGATCGTTTCTCTATAATTTTCTAAAGCATGATAGAAACTAAACTACAATCAGATGGAATTTATGGAAATCTTTTACAAATTCATATGTTGACATGAATGCTGCTTTACCAAACTGGGAATTTTTTCAAGAGGGCGAAAAATTTATGGATGAATTGTAAATGCTTGGCAAAGACGATCTCGCGAGCGACATTTCAGTCATTGATGTTCAAAAGCAAGCCAACATTGTTTTGAGTTTTATCTGCAGAAATTTACATCGAAAATTGTAAGTAAAGGACAAGTGAAGTGTATGCATGAATGTAATATATCAAAGTCAATTTATGCGAGTGTGTGATGCGATTTATGTTAATATGGCGTATGGTAAGCAGATAGATGCTTCTAAGGGGCTGTTTACCTGATCCCGGCTAGCCGAGTTTCAGTGAGGCGTGAAATGATTTTGAGGTATTGAAAGGAGTCGAAACTTCAACCGTAAAAATTACAACTGTTTGTTTAAGCACCACAAGTCATTCCTGTTGTAGTTCTCAAATTAAACCAAATTGGTTGTTGTAATTTTAAATGTTTTGTGTAGTTATCAAACCAGAATATTGTGAAATTGCCAGAAAAGATTTGTCTGATGAAGAGTATTGAATCGTTTCCATTTGCCAAAATCATTTAACGCTTGACTGAGTCCCGGTTATCCGGGCTCATGTAATCAGCCCCTAAAATTGTTGTTGCCGAAGGACTTTTAGCTATGATTTCTTTAGTGCTTAGGGAATCGTGACCGTATATGGCAGCGAAATCCTACATTCCTGCAAATATATTTCAATGGACAAAAAATCTGTAGCCATAAGGCGCCATACTCTTATTTACTTTATCATAAACAAATGTTTGGGGCTTTTCAGTTTATGATCATTGATCATTCAATCATTAGACAGTTATACTACATATTGTTTAAGATTTGAGAAAACTAACATTGATTACATGAGAAGCTGTTTACTATAACCTGTGATTTTGAGTCTTATGATCCATGAAGCTTTTTATTTTGACAATTTGACTGGAATGGTATTAAACCTTAGTATTTCAGATACGTGAAATGTTGTCCCATGTCACATATTGTCCCCTTTTCTAACTGAACACCTCATGTAGAGATGTAAAGTTGTGTTAATCTACGGCTCATACCAGATTGTTTGCCATAAATTCCAAAGGGCTATTGATGTATGAAAAGCATTTTCTATAAAGTAAAAATGTCTTCCTATGTATGCAGATAAACCTTGAAATTTGGCAAAACAGCAAAGTATTTTTCATGATCACTAGGTAATTTTTCTGATGATCATTATAATTTCTAAACTAAATTATTTCAGATTTACATTTAAATGAGCTTTGATCATATGAAATGATGTTTATCTAGCATGACACATGAACCAATTTTAACATTCATGTAATTATATAATTAAAGACATGTTGGTTACATTCTGTTTGTAATTGATAATACAATGCTACTAGTGATTGCTATATAGCACACCTTGAAGAAGATAATAGTCAAGTGAAATGCCTAATAAACATTTATGGCATTCAGCTGTCCTTATCTGCAAATTTTCACTCTGATAATTTTGCTTAAGCTTTGGCAGAAAAAATTTTGAGTTTTCCTCAAAAGGTGAATTTGCTAATACTGATGTGGAGATGGGTAAAGGGTTACAATAAACGTGCATGGTTTGAAGTCTGAGCTTTTCTATATCTATGAACTGTCACTTATAGTACCAAATTTCTAACTTAACTCATTACATAGAGGTTTGAATGGGGTCTCTAGGGGGGTCTATGCCTGACAACTTGGTAGAAATTTTTAAAGGCTATATCTGTTTTTGAATATAGCATTATTGTAAAATAAATTTTACGTTCCTAGACATGCTAATGAGCCATATATTTGGCATAATAATGAGCCTAAATATTAGGCAAAACATTCAAGTATTGTTCACTTCATTTTTTTTTTGAAAAAAAACGTAACCAAAATGTGTTGTATTTATGCAAAAACGATGCCCACAAAATACATTTTGTAATGCTCTGAAACGCTGAAAATGGCATTTTTAAGGCTCAGAAATTCAAAATTTCTCAGGAGAGATAGCCTCAGACCCCCCCAGGTGCGGAGCGCCTCTGATGTTTTATGACTGATGTTTGAAAAATCCTAGATCCGCCCCTGGCATAAATATTTTAGTGTTCTAATACATCAAAGATAATCAGTTTTATGGAGCAATTGAAATTGCTCAACCAATAGTGTGCTCATGTTCCATGAAGGATGTTCTAAGGTATCTATGAAAACAGTAAAAACATAAAAAGAAAGTAAATAAAAGCTACTCAAGTTTTTGCATGAATTGCCCAGTGGGATTTCTCACGCTCCAAACATGTTTTTCTAAACTTAAGAACTTTCAGTTCTTTTCATGTTTCCTACATAACTTAAAACTTCCCACAAATCACCGATTTTACTAAAGGGGGAGGGGATGGTAGCTGCCTCACGCCAGTTTACCATGATACCATGATTTCTGCCACTGTGTACAATGAACGAGAAAAGATATAATATAATCTCTTAATGCTTGGCACTCATAGACGCGTTTAAAGTTGCCAGAGAATTTAATTAGCATGGTTACGAGTGATAGCTTTTTGGGAAAATTATGGACAAGCATGTTTTTCAATAAAATTGAGACATTTTGTTCAGAAACTATTTTAGAATTGAGAAATTATTTCATGTCTATTATTAGCTCAGAAAACAGACAGCAGATTAAGATTACAAAATTGTAATTTCTAGATTTATTAGAACGTGTAAAATATATCGTACATAAACTGCAAAAAGAGAAAAGTGTTTTGACATTGGGTTAGAGACACACACAAAAAACAGTATTTACACAATATAAATAGTGAATCACTTAAAACATATAATTTATGAAAGCTGTAGTCTTATTTCATTTAGTTCATTTATCCTTCGAGTTAACAACAACATAACTGTAGGACCAATGGGTTTGTCAGACGACATGCGAGGAGTAAGGAAGTAAAACATTTACGATTTATGGTTAATGAGTTCACGGGTCTTGATTTATGTTCACAACAAGAGTATTAAGTTGGTTCATTGTGGGTTTACAAACACTTTACTATTTGTGAGTAAATATCAAAGTTGTTATTTATCCATAACATATATTTTGATTCCAATTTTTATGTAATTTTACAAAACCTCATTTTTTGTAAAATCATACCCCACTTGCGTAAGAATACGTGGAACAGTGTGTCAGCAATTTAAATTTTTAAATCTTTTTTGGGCTCATAGATACAAACAACATCATAGTAAAGTCTGTGTATGTATGAATATAGCCTTTGGAATCAAATTATCTCTTTTAGTTTTTTTCATCAAACCTCCTTTGGGTTGAGAAACGCTTGTTTTTCACAAAAACCAATCTATAGTTGTTAACATTTTGTCATATTTTACAGATAGAATTGTGTATACACTGCATATTTAAAAAATTGAATTTTATTTAAATAATCATGTACCAAAGCTAATTGTAAAATTGTGTTTTATGGGTGAAATTTATCACAAAAAATTGTTTCAATCTTCCCAGTGTTGTAGAGTATGTTATCCATTGTATGTTTTATATTGTAAATTGTAACTGTTAGTTTCTCACTTACTGCAACATTTGTATTTTGTAAAACCTGAACCAATCATCTTTTTATCTGACATGTAGGTGTTTCAATGAACTATAAATTTTGACGTTCTGTAGGCCTTTCAAAAAAGTATTCAGTCATCAGCAAAGGCTTATTTATCAGACATCACTTTATCTATCAAAGACAGTATTGTGTCTTTTAGCTTTAAAAACAGTCCTTTCAGAATTGTTGGGTTGGTGTTGTGGTTTTAAACAGTGCTTTTAAGAGCTTTTGCTTTATTATTTTAAACATTCACCATGGTATTTGCTGTTTTCAAAAAATATTTTACATTTGTCACCACGACAATGGCTCTGTTTTACTAATGATAGGTTTATAATATGAATCAGAGGTTTAGAAATAAACATCGAGCCATCCTTAAGTAATCGTGAGGGTATTCCATCGAGACCTGTACCTTTGTTGAACTTCAAATTTTTATTAAGTGTTTAAAAACTGTGGGGACTTAGACGTGATGAAAAGTAAATTCACAACCAAAATCAAATTTATCTGGAATAGGTTGACTCCAGATGCAATGGTCCTTTTATCTTAAAATATTTTACTTTTGAAAAACTTGCAATTGTTGAAAAATATCTGCAAACTCACTAACAATCGGGTGTTTATGGCTTGTCGTTTTCCTTTATTTGAAATGATGTACAGGTACTTGTATTGGGGTTCTTTGACCGCATTTCTTTTCCTTTCAACCATCAACTGAAATCTGCTGAAAACACCTACTTTAAAAACCTACTTGATGAGAATGCGTCATCTCAGGAGAATTTCTGTAAGTGCATCAAACAATTGTTTCCATCAAAAAACCCCGATCCAAGTATTTGTACATTGTTTCAAATAAACGTAAAATAACAAGAAGAGGGCATAGGTAGCAAAGTCCTTTTGACACAAGTACGTCTTGTTAAAATTTTGCACGCAATACTATAACTGAGACAAAAGAAACATCAACACAAAATGTGCTCTGTTAATGTGACGCTGTTGTGATAGCAAGATAAACATCGTACTAGATACAGTAATTATTAATCATTAATAGCATTCTGTGCTTTTTACTGACACATAAATTAGAAATTTTAATAAAATATATACGTTTGCGGTTTAATAAAAAAGAGGAAAGGAATTCTTCCTATTTCTTTGCAATATTGAAGTTTTATTTGCCAGTGTTGCATAGGAAAAGAAAGCTCACGAAATGTGTCTCACTTTACAACTATATAACAGCATTCTATGTTTGTTTTCAAAATATTACAAACGTTAAAAGAAACTAAAATGAAGCCAGCCCGTTTTTATTCATGCAATTAAAATATTTATATAGCTTTTTAAAAAACTTGCATTGTGTAGTTTCTAGTGAAAATTCGGAAGTCGAACTCTGTTACTCTGTATCGCTTTGTTGCTTCAGCATAGCCTCGTAATGCGTCCAAATTCATCCAAAAAACAGGATTTGCATTTGTGTTTTTATTCTTTACATACTTTTGTAATCTTGAATTTCAAACGATTGCAATTGTGGATATCTTTGTCTAGTTAATTTTTAATGTTTTTAGACATGATTGTTGGAAAATAATATTTGCATGAATTAATGCACAAAATACGGTTCTTGGTGGCTATACAGTGAGGAATAATTTTGAGTGATTTGCCTTTATCCAATGAACATCAAGTTTTTGGCTTCAAACAAAAACGTCATTGGTTTCAACTTTCAAAAGGATTTTTAAAACGGAGAAATGAGCGAATTTTCTCTCTAAGGTGTTCCTTTGTCGCCTATTACCACCGTGAGAGTCTTAGGTAATGATAGCTTTATAACATGAACCAGTACTCAATGATTTGTTTTAGATTTCAATCATTCAGGAGATATTTAATACTTCTTTTAATATGAACTGCAGTCTACCATGTAGCATGCTATAGATAGCTATATAATTAAATGAAATATAATTAAAAATGAGAAGATGTTTTAGCTACAATCAAACATCATTCGCACACTCATGGAAACAGCCACAGTTCTCTTCACCAAATAAATTTTCCAAAGCTATATCTAGTTTGAAACATAAACAGTACTCATACTCAGGGTTGCAGATCTTTTCGTAATAATACGCACCAACACCATAACAAAAAGGAATTCTTCTACCATCTTCATCATGGAAATATACCAGCACACCTGACTCACCCTTTTCAAGGAAAGTTTCATCACACTGCACCAAAACAGCATCATCAATATCAATCCTGTTTTCAGGATCATGACAGAAATAAGAATCATTAACAATTTCTCCTTTCAAACGCCTATTGTCATATTTTTTCACTTCAACTAGCTCACGTGCTATGTTAACTCGTTCGTGCAGCTCCTCCCATACACCATTCCAAGTTGGGTTTTGTATTCCTCTTCGTCTACAATCCACTGTTTCGAAAAAATTTCCATTGACTTCTATTGACAAAATGTCCGTATTCTTTTCTAAATTATAGCTGTTGAAATGCCCTAATGGACTTGGAGGCGACGTGTAGTTGTATTGATTTGTATTCAAATGTAATTTGAATTTGTTTGGGTCATTTTTGTTCTGATTTTGCATTTCATACAATGTGTCAACACCATCTCCATTGTAACAAACATGGCAACATGTCAACGCGTAATGTATCCCGTTGTGACAACAGAACATTGTTAATGTGCCTCTTGAAACTGTCCCATTGTTACTTCCTACTTCAATCTTTGATAGCAGTTGAAGCTTCGGTGTCGTGGATGGTTTCGGACGAAATTCAAAATACCTCAAAGCATAAGGTTCAAAATTCTTATTTATTTCATTTTTCAATATATCTTCATCAAAATCTCCATTATCATAATCAACTGTGATAAACAAATGGAAATATGGTATCTTCTCGTTTGGACCGACTTTTCCATACTCTCCCCGCATCCAAGGTAAACTGTAAAATAAAAAAGTGAAATGTTTAGCAAATAGCAATTATGTATGTGTAATCGAATTTTAATAGTGAACATTTGGGGAGGGGGAGAACGTAGCCAATTCTTGTTGATCGTACTTGTGCTTAATTTTACGGTAAAATACGTAATATTATTAATAACATCGCTGCGTCGAGATCTTCTGTTATCACAGGGACAGCTACTGATGTATTATCTCCTTAAACATACCATGAGGGACGTTTAGACAAAATATGCCCCATCAATATTAAAACCAGTGCTCCTTGTTTCCACATTTTAATCTCATTGCCTGTAGAATATATGCTGCTCCACAATTTATGTTGTTGAGTGGTAACAGATGCTTGTCTTTTCTTTGCATTGGCAACTTCCTTGTCACTTACTTATGAAAACCGGTAATAAACCATGAACTACTTTGCCGGACAAAAATTAAAAACTGCTACACAAGATTTAGTTTCAAGTTGTTGATTGAGGCTATGATTGAATTCATCCTTATGTATCAACTGTAGTCTTTTTAGACCTAAATGACTGTAGAGAAAAGTTCACCTTTTGAGCTTCATACGCACATCTTTTCGAATGGCAAATCTTTTATCAAGAAACATTTCTTCAAATAAACGATCATCATTGGATTTATGACGAGAGTACTTCTTTGACGTACTATAACCAGGGTTAACATCGATGGAACTTTCTTCGTTAGAATCGTCTTTAAAACTGGCATAGTGATCAGGAAGACCTTAAAAAACATAACATATAACTTAAAATAATTAAAGTACTGAATTTGTAAACATATTTGTTGGTTCTGGCGAACCATGGTACGGTTGTTCAATTGACAATCTGAACAAACGTACATCAACACACGCTTTACGTACAACACAATTTAACAAAAGATGGAGTCGCATGGTCCACCAAGTCACAAAGTACATTGTGACCCAACGACGCTTTACGACTTGCAATTTAAATCAACCTTTAAAATGTGTTATATACATTTATGATTAAAGCTTTATTTCCAAAACACATGCATATCATTAGGTTTCATATCGTTATTTTATTTAAGGGAGCCTGGCATTTCACCCTGCTTCTTTTGCTTGCTTTTTGGACAAACCTTTTGTTATCCGTCTTTATGAGCTTAGTGCACACGCATATAATTTGCAAGCCTCAGATTAAACTTGCTGACGAATATCGATGCATAAATACAAGTGTAGATATATAAGACTGCTAAAAAGAAGAGCCTGCTTTCCAATCATATGATGACATCGTCAAGAGAACGTACTTATTAAACATCAAATCAACTTTATACTATGACAACATCAACATAAGTTGTTGCTTATCTAAAAATCGTACCCAAGAGCTGTATCACCTGTGGGCTATTCTATGCTGTTTTTCATTAACACTCCGGAATCTATCTTACTCAGAAAAGGACGCTCGCATTTAGTGGTGACAACGTTCTTTAGAGCATCTGTGTCTAAGCTGACGTCCGAAATATTTCTACACTTCCTTCTCCAAATCTTTGCTTATCTTCAATTATTTCCCATATTGTTTCCAGTCGGGCTCTATGATGCCATTTAGAGTGCAAAAAATGTTTTTATCATCAACTACTCCAATGTCATAAGGTCAGTGGTTTGTTAAATGTTTATTTTTTTAATGTGTATAATGCGTTAAAAGCAACAAGCATCTGTTTTTATCTATTGTTTTATCTCTTTGAGTTCTTACAAAAAATATAAAATTTGTACCAGATCGTGACCGTTTTAACGAATCAAAGATGTTGCTTCTTATCTTTGTTACAAAACATTGCGACAGTACCTTTTGCCTTTGTTTCACATTCATCTTCAATATTTCCTCTCGTGGGATTTGGACCTTTCTCCCTTTTTATGACTTCTATGTCTGGTGACCAACGAAATTGCGATTGCTCTTGTGGTTCCGGTATAAAGTCAAAGTAATGAGAAGCTTTCCATCCAAAAGTTTCATCAATTTCTTTTCTTAATGCATCTTCATCATTTTGTCTTTCTGCTGCTACAGTCACAAACAAAGAAAGACGAGGCTTCCACCGTACACCATATCCACCACAAATCCAAGAAAAACTATAAAATATTATTTTCAAAGTCAAACAAATATTGAAAACAATTAATCTTAATACATAATCTACCATGTTAAATGAATATTAATTTCATATTCATGATACAATAAATCAAAGTAGTGTCGTTCAGAGGTTACTATAGCGTTGGACAATTTTGGTACTGATATTTTAGCAGTAAACTTAATTCAACAGTCGCTTATAAAGACTCTGTATAATAAACAGAGTATCTTTACCGCTTAATTTGGTACGTCTTTGGTACAGCAAATAATGAAATTTTTGAAAATGCAAAATGTTTTACCAGGGAAAATACCGTTGTTAAAAGTCCTTCAAAACAGGCTTTGTGTACGAAAAATTTATCGGAGAACAATTCATTATTCCCTTTGAGTAAAAATATGGACTGTTTTGCACAAGCTATCAAAATTTTAAGCAATTTGGGGCAAGCGCTGGCCATCGCCAGTTCTTTAAAACTTGATTTTTTTTTCGTTTTTGACTTTTAAAACAAAGTTTTATGACATCATCCCAAATTAATTATATGCATTTCTGAATTTGTCATAAAGTACAATATGAAATTAGCAAGCCAGTTACCATACGTATGAATGTTGCAGATAATAAAACTTAGCTAGTGTGAAAATAACATGGTTGCCTCGAGATCTTCTGCTATCACAGGGACAGCTTTTGATGTAATATATTATCATATCAAAAATCATCCAAATTCCCCTTAACCATACAAGCTTTTACAATACGAGTTTAATGAAAACCGTTACTATTCAGTCTAAAACAAAACCCGTCAATAGTGTTGATTGTTTACGAAATTAATATGTTAACCTAGGGTTAAGAAATTCAATGCACCTAGCGAGTAGGTTAAAGTTAATCCTTGTTTTAACACTAACCGAAGTTTGAGCAACGGAAATTAAACCATAATAAACCTACTTGTCTATCCAGTGGTAGTAAAAACTTTTCGAGTTTGCAGATTTTTTTTTTCAATAACAACCGATGATGTCATCAACAATAAAACGTAAATTTCTGCTTAGTGTGCGCACTCATCTTAACGAAATATTTAATTAGAGGAAGTGTAGAAACGATTTATCGAGACTTACCTCTTTAATTTGTCAATAATCTCATCTCGAATATCGTTATGTTCGTTAAGAAAATTTTTGATAAAGAAATCATCATTGTTCTTTACATCATCTATGGGAGGTACATAATGCTTCTTCACGGTATCAACTGTGAGATCTAAATCTTTCGTTGCTTTTATGGAAAATTGCATGTCTATAACAACAATTGTAATGATTATTAGTTGGTAAACAATTTACGAGGATTACCTAATCAGTAAAGTAGCGATGTCAAACATGCATACATGATTTTTCACAAAAGTACTTTTATCTAAAGCTGACGAATTAAGGTTCAAGTTAATTTGAAAAATACAATTTGATACATTGATGATGTTTGCGTTAAACACTGAATGTTTTGACGAATATTCAAAACGTTCATCAAAAATTTTAAAACGTGAAATTTTCTTATTTCATTTTTTGAAACTAACGTTTTCTCTGCATTTTACTCATCATTTTGAGCTATCGCACACTGAATTTGGTCGACAGAAAGCATTGAAATTTGCGTTTGAATATGACATATTTCCTTGTTGTAATGCGAACTTCAATTTCAGCCCCTGACTTCATTTAAAGGACGGAAGAAAAATTTTAAAGCTATTAAGTTAATAAAAATATATAGGAACCAGAACATTTCCAAAATGAGTTTTACATTTTTTTATGAGTTTTCTTTGCAAAAATCGAGTATAGTTGGTGAAAAAGAGTAATACGAATAAATAAACAACATATACAAGCCGTTATATTTTATAAACTTCTAAAATAAACTTATAATTCTCGATGAACTGGGTGCCGCATCCTTGCGCAGTCTTTAGTTTAATACACGCGCAATGCATGTTGTCAGAAACCAACTGCAATTCGCTTAGTTCCAGTCTACTATAGTTTTATAAACTTCTCAATAAGACTCATAATTCTCGAAGAAATGGGTGCCTTCCTTTACGTAGTCTGTGGTTTTGTAACCCATGCAATATCAAAATGCACATAAAATAAGGAGAATTTTTTTACCAAGCTAGTAACGTAACGATACACTGGAAGTAAAAATATGGCGATTACGCAAAATTCGGCAAAAAAATCGTCAATGAGGACAATATTGTGTTGCTGGTTGGCCAAACGGGAAAAAGTTGTACAAACGGTAAACACAAAGAAGGAGTCTTACACATCGTTTTCCCCTGATAGACAAGGAGAGGCTGAGTATATGAACAAAAGTGGTGAGGAGACATCGACTAAAATTGTTTCTCAACAGTACTCAAGCCGTACTATGTTCAATGCATTTCGCTGATTCTGCATTCACCGCAAACGCAGCGTTCAAAATCATTAAAAGTACGAGACGACAAACGACAGTTGGATAGTGGCTAAATTAACAATTGATTTAGCTACTATTGTATCCTCAACGATGGAGTTCGAAAGTAAATTTTCATTTGCTATATCAGAGTTTTCAGGATCCGAACCGCATTCGCTTTTACTGCTTGATTTCAGTCAAACCGTCAGGAAAAAAGATTCGATTTAGTGGGATGTACAGACATTTTGTTATATAAAAAATGATGATAGACAGGCTTCATTGAAAGAGCAATCGGACTTAAGCGAAAAAAATAGTTGAATATACAAATACTTCCCCCGTCCGATTTGGCGTAAAGAGTTTAACATTTTACCCCTGATACCAAGAGTTTTATTAATGAAAATATTAAGATAATTTGATGATTAAAAGTCACAGGTAAGCATCAAAAAACTCTGCGTTTGTTTTATACTGGTGCAGTAGCAGAACAGTTCGATTGTACTGATACAAAAAATGCAACAAGAGCTTATTTGTCAGCAAAATGTAGCTAACTATAAAAAAAATTGATCACGTGTTTTGATAACACAAACTATGAGGTTCAATCTAATATCTTTCATATTTTCAAAATCATCCGTTTTAACAGTTTTCAATTATTTCAGAAACACTTAGCTAATACACCATAACGAATAAGCTGTTCCGCGCAATGTTTAAGTTTTCGACAACAGCTATGTCTTTGTTTTACTGTAGTTTCACGTTTTCATTTCTTAAAAAGTCATTTGTTTTCATTTTTTGAAAAATCAACAAATAATAATTTCAAATTTCAGTGGAAAATAGCACGAAATCATCAGATTTTATGATTATCATTTGGCTTACTTATGTTACACTTACTTTTCTCATCAGCACCAATTAAATTGGTTAAAATTTTCATTGCTCGTTCATAAAAATCTTTTGCTTTTTCGTACTCTCCCATATTACTGTAAACCAAACCCCGATTGTTGTATGTTGTCGCAATATTAACATGGTCAGGTCCAAATGCTTTTGTTTCAATTTCCATCGCTTGTTCATAAAAATCTTTTGCTTTTTTGTAATCTCTCATATCTCTATACACCAAACCCAGATTGTTGTACGTTGTCGCAATATTAACATGGTCAGGTCCAAATACTTTTGTTTGAATTTTCATCGCTCGTTCATAAAAATCTTTTGCTTTTTCGTACTCTCCCATATCTCTGTAAACCAAACCCAGATTGTTGTACATTGTCGCAATATTAACATGGTCAGGTCCAAAAGTTTTCGTTTTTATTTCTATCGCTCGTTCGTAAAAATCTTTTGCTTTTTCGTACTCTCCCATTTCACTGTAAACCAAACCCAGATTGTTGTACATTGTCGCAATATTAACATGGTCAGGTCCAAATGCTTTTGTTTGAATTTCTATCGCTCGTTCATAAAAATCTTTTGCTTTTTCGTACTCTCCCATTTCACTGTAAACCAAACCCAGATTGTTGCACATTGTCGCAATATTAACATGGTCAGGTCCAAAAGTTTTCGTTTTAATTTCTATCGCTCGCTCATGAAAATCTTTTGCTTTTTCGTACTCTCCCATATCTTTGTAAACCAAACCCAGATTGTTGTACGTTGCCGCAATATTAACATGGTCAGTTCCAAATGTTTTTGCTTGAATTTCCATCGCTCGCTCGAGAAAATCTTTTGCTTTTTCGTACTCTCCCATATCTCTGCAAACCGAACCCAGATTGTTGTACGTTGTCGCAATATTAACATGGTCAGGTCCAAATGCTTTCGTTTGAATTTTGACTGCTCGTTCATAAAAATCTTTTGCTTTTTCGTACTCTCCCATATCTTTGTAAACCAAACCCAGCTTGTTGTACGTTGTCGCAATATTAACATGGTGAGGTCCAAATGTTTTCGTTTTAATTTCTATCGCTCGCTCATGAAAATCTTTTGCTTTTTCGTACTCTCCCATATCATTGTAAACTGAACCCAGATTGTTGTACGTTGCCGCAATATTAACATGGTCAGTCCAAATGTTTTGTTTGAATTTCCATCGCTCGTTCAAAAATCTTTTGCTTTTCGTACTCTCCCATATCTCTGTAAACCGAACCCAGATTGTTGTACGTTGTCGCAATATTAACATGGTCAGGTCCAAATGCTTTCGTTTGAATTTTGACTGCTCGTTCATAAAAATCTTTTGCTTTTTCGTACTCTCCCATATCTTTGTAAACCAAACCCAGCTTGTTGTACGTTGTCGCAATATTAACATGGTGAGGTCCAAATGTTTTCGTTTTAATTTCTATCGCTCGCTCATGAAAATCTTTTGCTTTTTCGTACTCTCCCATATCTTTGTAAACCAAACCCAGATTGTTGTACGTTGTCGCAATATTAACATGGTCAGGTCCAAATGCTTTTGTTTCAATTTCTATCGCTCGTTCATAAAAATCTTTTGCTTTTTCGTACTCTCCCATATCATTGTAAACTGAACCCAGATTGTTGTACGTTGCCGCAATATTAACATGGTCAGTTCCAAATGTTTTTGCTTGAATTTTCATCGCTCGCTCGAGAAAAGCTTTAGCATTTTCATATTCTCCATTCTTCCAAAGCAACCCACCCAGCTCGTTGTACGAATATGAAACATCAATATGATCAACACCTAACATTTTAGTTTGAATTTCTGTTATTTCATAAAGCACTTTAGTTGCAAGTTTATAGTTGCAAAATCTTACTAAAACATCCACAAAATATTTTGCAATTTTCCAATTTCTTTCATCAAGTTTTTGTTTTGATGATTTTACATCGATCAACTTATTTAGGAAATGTTGAAATGATGAATTTGTTATGAATTTAATTAGATGTGGAATTATTTTGATTTCATCTTCTCTGTCTTCAAAACGATTTAGTGCCCAAGCAACTTGACAGGCAAGATCAGCTGCAGACTTTTTAGAATTGTTTTCGCTTTGTTTGCAGCCAAAGGTCTGCGACGAATAATTTACGATGGCTTCGTGTACAACGCTGTGCACGCGGATGTCGTTGTTTTCCGTTTGAAAGAATAAAGAACAATGCTTTAATTGAAGACAGATATCTTCTGCAGATTTTTGGGGATCGATGCTTTTAATGAATTGTATTATAACATCTTGTGGTAAGGGATCGAAAGATATTATTGAGAAAAGTTTAAAAACATGTTCCAATAAGATGGATTCTTCGGCATTTTTTTGTACTGCTAACATAACAGTTTTCATTCCTAAGTAAGATGAGTTTATTTTTTGAAAATAGCCATCCATGTTCTGTCGCTCTCCTTCATTCAACTTATCAAAATATTTCTCCCACGTGAATGTCGGATTTACACTTTTTACTCTACCTACGTAGGAAGCAGAATTTGCCAGAAACAACGGTTGACGATCTAATTTGTCTGATACATTCTTTAAAAATTTTTCATCTTCATTATGAATATCAGACAAGACAGATAGAAGTTGTCGACATTCTTCATTGTTCATACCATGACTAATTGAAATGTGTTTATTTAGATTTCCATTTGGTGGTATAGCATCTGTATTTTGAACATTTACTATAATTTGACCATTTTTCCAACTATGATCACCAACTTGAGGTAATAATGGATAAATTTTATGAAGTTCAACCACGTTATCTACAACAATCCACCATGTTTGCCATGATTTCAGTTGTTGTGTCAGCAATAATTGAAAATCTTTGATTTTGTCTTCGCTGCTTTTTGTTTCTTTTAAAATATTTACAATGACAGTTTTCTCATTGCTTAATCGTTGACAAAGTTCAGCATAAGTTTTCAAAAGAGAGTCGATATCTTTTCCGTCGAGTGTCATCACAAATGTCGTATTCTTTTCCCAGTCAAATGAGTTATACATTTCTTCGCAAATTTGTCTAGCTGTTTGAGATTTACCACTGCCAGGATTACCAGAAATATAGTAATATGTCAGTTCATTATTGTTAGTACTGCGCAAGTTATTGAGATCTGCTGTGATTTGATTAAATAATTCTGTACGTTTAACCACATCGTGATTTGCTTTGCAAGGAAGTACTTGAAAAGAATTAAATCTATTTTGCGGATATATAATTTCATAAATTTCATCTAATCGAAATCCTAGATCTTGGAACGAATGTTCAATATCACAAACCATTTTGTAAAATTCGGTATCAGATACTTTACCACCACAATCATGGATAAACTTGTTTCTAACAATGCGAAGTACATCAACTGCAGATCTAACTTTTGGGTGGATTCTTGTTCCAATTGAGTTGGAATACAGTATTGCTGCAAATAGTGTTGTACAATCCCAATTACTAGTGTCACCCACTTGAAACTTTAACAAAATATGTTTGTCAAGACGTTTCTTTTTTGACATTTCAATACCGAACAACTTCTGGCCACTAACTTTAGTATTTTCCCATGCTCCAAGGGATCCTTTGTAATGTGTGTCCCACTCATGGATAAATAAATCAACAAGTTTCTTTTCAACAACATCTGTAAGTATTTTTTGCATATAGTAGCTATTCCTTTCTTCTCTTAAATCCATCTACGGGAAATAAAAGAAGATTTAGATAAACATCATTTGTTTTGTTTTTCAATTCTAATTCATGGACAAAGAAAATAGTTGAATGAAGTTTGATAAGGTAAAGTTTCAGTTCCACATACATGTAAGTGGTTTTAACGAGTATGGCATTAGAAAACTGTCAAAGACTTGTTTGAAATTTGATAGTTACACTCAGAGTAAAATAATTTGTGACAAGCAGTGAGCCCAGCCAATAGTAAGTGAGAAAAATGAAATGTCAAGTAAATTATAGTTATTATTTTATATTATTTTCTAGAAATGTGATCGGGGGAAATATGTTCAATACCACAATTTCCAGTCTAAAAAAAGTTTGTGACTGTGAAGTGTTGAAAGAAACTTAGGAGGAGGCCTCCAATAAAAAACAACAGTAGTCGTCCTGCAATTAGGTATTTGTGGGACAGTCGGACATTTTGTTCAGTTTTATCCCCCTTTAAATAAAATAGTGTATCATATTGCAAGCATCATTTCCGGCAAAATGGCGCACTTTGATTGGCTCAGCAACGTTTTTGCCGGTCCATTATTTTCCCGTAATGGACCGGCGGTCCAATGCGAGTAATTTTCCAATTAAACGTAAACAAAATTCGTCAAACAAAGAGAAAAAAACGCAAAAAAAACGCATAAAAAAATATAAGTCGAAGGAAAAACACTCGAAAAGTGAGTTATTATTCATACAACATAATTTCAAACGATTTATTTCTTACTGACGAGAACTAGAGTAGTGAAAGCCAGCCCGTACAAAACAGCGAGAACAAGAAAAAAAAGAAAGCTTCCCTTATAACCCTCACTTTCTTGTTCTTTACTGAGAATTTACTCCAGTCGATTGTTGCAACGGAGTGATATGAAAAGTACAAATGAATGCCATAAAACGTAAAATTTGCTGCTTTCTTTAGGATGAATTGAAAAATTTCCTAATAAAAAATTTCCTTGTGGGTTGAGGGGGGGGGGGGAGAGGGGTACAAGGTGTCAAGTCAATTTGGCCAAAGTGAAGTGAAAATATATTTATTTATTATGTTAACCCTGCCCTTCAGAAGCAGATAAATCGTTTGTAAAGCAACCATTATACTGTCAACATCCTATGTTTTCGTATACCAGAATTTGAAATTTCGAAGTGACAAAAAAGTGTGATGGCAAGTCTGGAATGGAAGCTTTCATATTTAAACTGGTAAATCAGGTTACGCTCAACATGGTCGCCAATTTGATTTTCTGAAAGCACTAAAGAAAAGCCTATTTCTCTTAATGGAAGAATAAGATTACTTTTTATCAAAACAAACAGTAAAATGCATACAAGAATGTGTGTGCAAAAGTTGATTATTATCAGGTTCATCATCTGTGGCCATCCATGTTATTGCACTGGAAAAGCACATGTCGGGTCATTTAAATCCTGCTTTCGGACAAGAATTTTCTACTCAACAAGACCTACATCAAAAGCAGTTCTAAATTTTTTCTTGCACAAGCCTTGGCCCCTAAAATTTTTTCTGGCGCATAACTTTTCCTTTCTTAGCACAGTAAAGCCCTTATCGTAGCATATCGACATTCTGAGCTTTTTGCATTTTTTAACGAATAAACTACTCAAAATTCATTGAAAATACTATCTGAAATTCTACCTCCTAATTCTGCCATTGACCAAACATAGCTGACGTTCTTCATGAGAATTTAAATTGGTCTTAATTTACCTACATATAAATGGCAAAAAGCCCCAGAATGTCATTATGTTAGGATAAGAGCCTTACTTGTCTAAGGCACAAAAAGTTGAACAGAAGCTCTTTTGTTAAGAACAGAAGGTCTTTTGTTAAGAACTACGTCCTTAACTGATGCGCACCAACTGTCGAACAGTCATCTGAAAAAAGACTCGCCACAGCACTGTCTGAAAAACAATTTCACGTGTACATGGGTGGAAAGTTATCAATGAATCTTATAAAAGCACGTTTGAAATTGTGTGTTTGGGATAAAGGCCTGTGCCAAAAGAAATTTAGAATTGCTTTCGTGTGCATGCAAAATATCTTGTACCGAAGAATATTAATTGTTATTTAAAAGAATATTAAGTTGTTTATCCCAAAACCTAAAACAGATTATTTAAAGCGTTCCTTCTCACACAGTGGAGTTTAACTTTGGAAAAGCTAGCCTGAGCCACTTAGGTTATCTTTATGTCAATAATATGGGTTCCATAATATTTATAAGAATGTAAATAACAGTTCATATAGGCAAAACAATTCTTAAGAAAATGATGTTGTTCTTTTCCATTTAATGTTCAAACATTGAAGAAGGCTATATTTACTCAGAAATCTTTAAGCACAACAAAAATGCAAAAATAACTAATAGGAAAGTTTAGACAAATGACGTCATGTGTGACGTCATAAGTCATAGTCTTTCTCGGGGGGGGGGGGTTAGGGGCATGCTCCCCTGGTTAAACTTCTAAATCTAGAGTCCTTCAGTATCGAATCCAAACTTTCAGAGTTTAATAAGGACAATTTTTACAGTAAGTAAACACTAAAAATCAGCATTATTGAAGTAAATTTAATATTTCAAATACCACGCATTAAAATACGTGTGTCCTTTAGAAAGAACTAAGATTCATTGGTTTTATTATGCCAACATAATTCCTCTTGACACTAAATAGTACTTTCAAAAGAAATCAGTGTGGTAAAGCAGAATGTATAAATATGTTCCCTCTCAAATAATGTTAGATTGACACCATGCATAAACATAGGACTTTGCAGCCTTTCTTGGTTCATAGGCAATAAGCAATTGCAATGTGTCATTTAGTAAGAATAATTTCATTGCGTCAAAGTATGCTTGTAGTAGCCACTGAAAATATTATTTTCTGCTTCTAGATTTTATTAAAACTAGAAGCTTTGTAAACGTACAAGTTGTGAATTAAAGAAGTTAGGATTGGTAGTAACATAAGCAATCAATAATATATCGTCCCCTCCCACCCTTTCATAATTTTTACACTAATTTTATCTTTCTGAAAAGGCATTACCTCTGTGCATCAGGAGGGCAAAGCCCCCCTTGTCCGTGCCACTGCAAAACAGCTAGGCGGTAAAATGAAAAATGCAAAATTTATATTTTAGCAATGACCAACATCTATAAAAAGAAACAGTAATTTTAAAATTTTTTAGCAAATTCAATTTTCATTTGATTCAATTTAATAAATCTTGCACATTTTATAATTACTACTATTTGTTTCCATTATTAAATGTCGTGACTTATCTGCAAATTAATTGACATAAACATTAAAACACACACGGCAGCCTAATCATATATTTTAATGTAGTGTAAAGACTGTTCTTATGTTTGCTGCTGTTGATTATTGTAAAATATGTGCCAAGGAAGAATAACACAATATTAAGAAAACACGACTGCTTTATCGGTTTTAGCTTTAACAGAAGTTTAACCACAGTACCCTGGCAAATTGAATAATTTGATAGCAAATTCAATTTTAATGCACTTTAATGTAAATAAAATTTACACACAGTTTACTTTTATTCATGTATTTTGAACTATTTTGATTATCAAACACCCCAACTTATATGAAAGCTGACGGAAATAGCCATGAAGTAAGATGAAGCATCCAGCCGAACAATTTTTGATAACAGACGTTACAAATTTTTAATATAGCTAAAAAATTAGAAGTAAAATCTTTTCAAAATATTTAACGACTTATGTTGTGCAAATAAAACTGCAAATAAAAGTCTTGTCCTATTATATTAAATGGCTAAATGTCAATACAAAATGTCGCAGCGTTTTTGTGAAATTTGATGTTTTAATGGTCTTAAACATTGAGCTGGAACTCCTTTCTAGTTCTATTGACCATTTTGTAGCTCGCAACTTCACACGGCTATAAATTATGAGACTATAAGAGTCTGACTATTAATATCACAGTCAGCTAATGTTTATACAACACCTTATGTATGACCAACCTTATTACTACCGTGAAATTGGCACCAC